CCGTATTTTTGGGACATGATGGAACCGTAGTTTTGGGAGAGGGGTGTTATTTCGACGGGATTTTGATAACTTTTGACAAAAAAAATTCAAAAAAGAAGCATGGAATAGTCGACTGCAGTTAGCGAATTTCTTTGCCCTTCATTTCACCCCCACGCCCTTCCCCTTCCCACAACTATTCGGAGTTGGAGGAAAAAGTGGGCGGAGTTGGAGCGTGTCAAGTGGTCTAAGAACCAGATACTGTTGGCGGCCCCTGAATTAAATGCTATACATACAGCCATGATGGTGAGAGTGGTGATGGGGGTCGTATCGAGATCTCCTACAGGAGAGGGGGGGTCGTAGAAAGTATTTAAATCGGCCGAACGTCACGGTTGATTCTGGGGATAAGGTGGGAAGGTGTACGCACAAATAGAAATGAGCTGCTTAATGTCTTCCATCTTTTTTTTTCATCTCCTCATTCCCTGATTCCTTCTCAACCACAACGGTTCATCTACCTTACTATCCAACAAAACCACTTCACACTTGCCTGAGACCACTTTTTTGAATCATTTTGATCTACTTGAATATCGAAGGAAACCCTGGTCACTTTTTACACTCCGTACATGTAACAGCATACAAGAGAGTCTTATAAGAGAGCTTTTTGAGTACCAGAAGGGATTATGCGAGCCCGGCAACAAGACGGACATTTAAAGGGCGCAGGGCAATAAAATGGGCGCGGTCCTAGCACGACGCGGCCACAGTTTGCCGCCCGATGGGCAATCTTTTCAAAGTTGGTTCCCAAAACTTGTCTGCATTGCATATTTCATAGCTTTCTTTAGCCACTTGGTTCTTTATTGTTTGGAGACTTAATGAGTGGTAGAGCTGTTAGGTGTTTTAGGTGTCAGAGTCGGGTTCATTTTGGGTAAGGGAATTGAGTCTTCCGTTCGTGTAACAAAAGCGCTTTAGTTCACGTTCTTCGTTTCTACTTTAGCTTTGCTGGGTTTTCCTAATTAGGTCTCGTATATGTCGTCACTCGTACATTTTTTCACTGACTTATTCATCCGTTTTAGCTTGCGGTTACCCTGCTGAGCAAAAATGGCTCGTGGACCGAAGAAGCATCTTAAGCGTCTAGCAGCGCCAAAGCATTGGATGCTAGACAAACTCGGAGGAGTTTTTGCTGTTCGACCAAGAAGTGGACCTCACAAGCTGCGAGAATGCTTACCTCTGAACCTCTTCCTTCGCAATCGTCTGAAGTATGCCTTGAACTATTCTGAGGTGAAGAAAATCATGCGTCAGCGAATTATAAAGGTTGATGGAAAGATCCGCACCGACCACAAATTCCCTGCTGGATTTATGGGTAAGTTTTTTCGAAATTCCATTTATGTGGTGATTGGTGATACCAGAAGTACCTGACGCTGGTATTTTGCAGATGTGATCAGCATTGAGCGAACCAACGAGACTTTCCGCCTTCTATATGATGTCAAGGGCCGTTATACGGTGCACAGAATCACAGCTGCAGAGGGTCAATTCAAGCTTTGCAAGGTTAAGGCTCTGCACGTTGCCAAGAAGAATATCCCATACATCACTACCAATGACGGACGCACCATCAGATATCCTGACCCACACATCAAGGTAGGGTTTTGATTTCGAGGTGTTCAAGGCTTC